AAGCAAAAACAAAAAGCGAAAAAGTTGTCGCGGAGCCGACAGTAATAAACACAGTAACTGTATACACTGCGTAACGCATACTTTGCTTTCCCGCAAAAATGCGGGCGAGAAAAATCAGGTGAGCACTTCTGGCGAGGCATGAACCGGTAACAAAGAGGCACGCAGTTGCAAGAATAAGCTGATATTATAGATGTAAGCTTTTGAAAACTTCCTGTCTAGTGATGTACCTTCTTAAATAGATCTAGTACACTTGTGCTCAGATTTTGAACATGCGTTCCTAATCCAGCATTGTATATAGCATCTATGATCAGCAGTAAGAATAAATTTTTTTAGATGTAGGAGAATTACTTACAGAGAATTAGTCCTTGAGTGCTTAAGCAGATTATCTACAAATTCATAAGCGCTGATCTCTTCGCTGACCTTTTTAACCTTACCCATGAGATAATTAAGCAGTCTACCGTAATCATATCACATTAGTTGCGGGTTCATAGATCTCAAGGCCAAGAAGGTGACTGAAAGATATGTTGGGAATACTTACAGTCTTCTGAATATAGCCTGCTGTTTATCTTCCGCCTGACAAAAAGCCGCAGGCTTAAGCATAACAAACTTATTATCGTACCCGATACAGACCTTCCGGATACCGATGTCACCACCTACACTCTTCGATTGTTTCAGCAGCCCCAAGATGAAACCACGCTAGACCCAACCTAGAGCCAGATGGAAGAACAATGTTCCATTACATAGCACAGTATTGTGATAACATGTACTATGTATAGTAATTTAGAGAAACATCTAGGCTCGTATAAGTGGGAAACTGGTCGTAATTATTAATTAGTCTAGAAAACTTACGGTAGGAAGTAATAGTATATAGTCAGTTACGCATTCCAGACCATTCTTTTAGAGAGAGATCAGAAAATAAGACTCTGTACTGTAGTATAGCACAAAGTCATCTCCTATTCAGAATCAAATCTTATGATTGGAACGCGCCCGTTTGTTAGCCCAAGGGCAAGCGTGGCATCCTTAATAGCAAAAGAACGAAAAGAACGATATTCAGTAGGAAGCCACAGGGCTCTTTCACCTCGTAGAGTGACCCAACAATCCGCGATAGAGATAGAATAACTGGGGGTAGATTGATTTACAACCGAGTAGACCGACTCGGAATCGCCGGTCAGCGTGCGCTGCTCGACGCCCGTGACCGTGTTCCAGAGCTTGATAGTGTCATCGGCCGAGCCCGACGCCAGTGTGCGGCCGTCCGGCGAGAAGGCCACCGAGTCGACTGTACCGGAATGGCCGGTCAATGTATACTGCTCAACGCCTGTGGCCGTGTTCCAGAGCTTGATAGTATAATCAGCCGAGCCCGACGCCAGTGTGCGGCCGTCCGATGAGAAGGCCACCGAGTAGACTCTACTAGAATGGCCGGTCAGCGTGCGCTGCTCGACGCCCGTGGCTGTGTCCCAGAGCTTAATAGTGTCGTCGGCCGAGCCCGACGCCAGTGTGCGGCCGTTCGGCGAGAAGGCCACCGAGTCGACTGTACCGGAATGGCCGGTCAATGTATACTGCTCAACGCCTGTGGCCGTGTTCCAGAGCTTGATAGTATAGTCAGTCGAGCCCGACGCCAGCGTGCAGCCGTCCGGCGAGAAGGCCACCGAGTCGACCGTGCCGGAATGGCCGATCAGTGTACATTGCTCGACGCCCGTGGCCGTATACCAGAGCTTAATAGTATCATCGGCCGAGCCCGACGCCAGTATGCAGCCGTCCGGCGAGAAGGCCATCGCGGAGACCGAGCTGGAATGGCCGGTCAGTGTGCGCTGCTCGACGCCCGTGGCCGAGTCCCAGAGCTTGATGGTACCGTCGGCCGAGCCCGACGCCAGCGTGCGGCCGTCCGGCGAGAAGACCACCGCGGAGACCGAGAAGGAATGGCCGGTTAGAGTGCGCTGCTCGACGCCCGTGGCTGTGTCCCAGAGCTTAATAGTGCCGTCGGCCGAGCCCGACGCCAGCGTGCAGCCGTCCGGCGAGAAGGCCACCGAGTAGACCCTACAAGAAGGGCCGGTCAGCGTGCGCTGCTCGACGCCCGTGGCTGTGTCCCAGAGCTTAATAGTGCCGTCGGTCGAGCCCGACGCCAGCGTGCAGCCGTCCGGCGAGAAGGCCACTGAGTAGACCGAGCTGAAATGGCCGGTTAGTGTACGCTGCTCGATGCCTGTGGCCGTGTTCCACAGCTTGATACTATTGTCGGCCGAGCCCGACGCCAGCGTGCGGCCGTCCGGTGAGAAGGCTACCGAGTCGATCCTGCTGGAATGGCCGGTCAGTGTACGCTGCTCAACGCCCGTGGCTGTATCCCAGAGCTTGATAGTACCGTCGGTCGAGCCCGACGCCAGCGTGCAGCCGTCCGGCGAGAATACCACCGAGTCGACTGTGCCGCAATGGCCGATCAGTGTGTGCTGCTCGACGCCCGTGACTGTGTCCCAGAGCTTGATGGTGTCGTCGGACGAGCCCGACGCCAGCGTACTGCCGTCCGGCGAGAAGGCCACTGAGTCGACCGTACCGGAATGACCTTCAAATGTCTGTAGATTTGAGCTCCAGAAATCTTCCACCGCTGTTCCAACTGCCAGTTGATCTTTAACTTTGCTGACGAATATCTGCTTGATAATACTTTTGGTCGGTGCAAATACAAGACCAGCGCGGTAGATCTGAAGTGGAGCAATTGCTGCCATATAGTTATTTTGGCGAATAAACCTTTCCGCATCATACAAAAAATCAGATAACTCAGAGCCAAGTTGCGCCTAGATATTATTTAGCCAGTCTTCTAAGCAGCGAACCATAAACTTATACATACTCTTGACTTTAATACATCTATTAATCCTACCGTTTCTGATATTGCTCCCATCAGAGCTAGTACCTCCAACCAGTGAAGAAAGTGGTTCTGGAGAAAACGAAAAACATCACAGTCCAGAATCCGACCTTTGCTCTGTTCCAGATGATGAACCCAGTACCGACAGGCGTATTGTATATCAGCAGTAACACAATCTTTGATAATCTCGGTTTCAATATCCTCTTGCCGCATTCCGTAACTTTGCAGCTCGCATATATTCTCTTTAAGCCGTGTTTTCATAAGCCGGAGACAATGTGAAGCGATTCTACTATGTGTATCTTGCTCAGGAACATAGAAGGGGCACTTTTTGTCCAGAAGGTAGTCTCGAAATGACAAGTGTAGAATCCGGACTGGTGCTTCAGAATCCACTGGTATACTGAGAACAGAGTGGAATCCGTCCAAGCGATTATTGATATCATCAAGTGAGAATTCAATGAGCAGGGAGAGAGCATGAAGGGACAAAGGTGAAGCTAGCAGAATAATTGTCCCGATTATATGTTGAAACTCTTTCTTCAGCTGATGTGTCTCTTCCTCATTAGCTCCGGCAAGAAGCTGGCTTAGGATAGGCGTGTATGTTCGCGCCATTTCGTCTTCTGAAGATGCACTCGCACTGTCGAGAATCTTTTCAAGCCGTTGTTCTGGACGCCATTTTCTCTCTCCGACAAAGCGGCAAATCGTAGCTGCGAAGATAAATAGAGGAATAGCCATTGCTACCAGCTTTTCAATTTTCTCACTTCCGGGCCAGTCGGGTGACAGTGAGCGCTCTTTTTGTATGGCCAGAAGCTTACTTTCGAAGAAAAGACGAATATCATGTTCAATCACGGACTTCGGAAGCTCTTGGAGAATCAAATCGTGGTGATCCTTATTTTTGTCAAAGCCATTGCGAACAGGGAGTTCAGGTCGGCTGGTTAGAAATACTCGAAGATGCACAGATCTGATTTCTTGCATCTTAAACAAGCAGTTAAGGATAAGTTGTTGGTCCTTATCTCCGTCACACTCGTCTAAAGCATCGATAACAATCACAATTGTTGTAGATTGGCTGGTAGACAGCTTTTGCAGTGGCTGATATAGGAGCTTCTCAAACTGTATGTCAAGAGATTTAAACACAACATTCGAATCATCCTCAATTGCATTGAAGATATCGAAACCTACTTGCCGGTGCTTGATGATTAGTTGACGTGCGAGAGTCGACACAAAGCGCTTTGCGTTACCACGGTCGGCTTCGCCTCGCTTGAAAAAAAAGCTGGCACCTAAAAGCCCTTGATTTTGGAAGGATTGAGCGACAGTCCGTGCAATAGTGGATTTACCAGTCCCCGCCATGCCATTTAGCCAGAAAATAAGTTGATCTTGCGACTGAGCCCACAACGAAATGCGGTTAAGAAGATCTGTTCTCGTATCTGGAAGACAGTAATCCTCATGCTGATGAGTATAAGAGTCGAAAAATGCTCCTTCCGCTAATAGTAAGCTCTTGAAGCCAGAATGTTCAAGGAGTCTCTTCAAGGAATCGGCTAGCTCATCAATCTTGCGTAGGATATTCTCTGCCTCTTCTGTGCGGTTAAGGTATTCGACTAATCCAATCCATTTATCTAACTTAGCCCTTTCATTCTCAACCGAAATCTTGAGTGCGATGAGTGGTTGCTGCAGGCTATCGGTCACCGTATTAAGTACTCTTTCTCCAACACTTGCTTCCTGGAATTTGCGTATCTGGACCACGTAACACAAGATAGCTTTATAAAGTCTGATCAATGCATCTTCTACAAGATGATTGTCAGAAATCCTCTTTGTTTTCTCGTGGAATTTCTGCTCGATAAAGGCACCGTATGTCAGAACATCTGCCAGGTACTCCGATGATTCGAACAGGGAATCGCGGGACTGGGAGTATTTTTTCGCCAACTAGCACACCAAGTAATAGACATATCAGCAGCGACTTTTGATATGCCCGGTTATATACATACTGTTAGACTAAGTGAGACAATATTCCACACACTAGCTGCATGCTGCGTCGGATCGAGTGCAGCCACTGCACCTATAATATCTTTGAATGACAGTGCTGCATTGAGAATTTTCCGTGAAGTCTTCCGGAACGTTTGATCAGCTGTCTGATGATACTTTTCATATCCTTCTTCAGTTGTTGTGACGACCTGATCGATTGAATCCTTAAGATGTTCTTTTCCGTCACCCGGCGTGATTGAAATCTCCTTGATTGAGAGATAATTTTGCTGACAATTATCAAGCTGGTTATAAGCAGCTTGCCACAAGTCTCGCGGCTGCAAAGTTTGCGTTGACTGAATGGTCTGGTCTGCAGGCTTGCGAGAGACAGGGTGGGCATCATTATTGGTGGAATGTTCTTGGGTTTCGTTTTGTCTTGATTCGATGATCGGTTTCTCGCTCTCTTTCCGCCGATGGAATAGATGACTGAAACGCTTTCCGAAGGGACGGGGCATCTTGAATATTTCGAAAGATCAGCTGCTGTGTGTTGGGTGAAGGCGAAACTCCGGGAGAAGGGCAGTTCGAGAGGGAACGCAGCCATCGTCGGTCGATACTAGCGTCAAATTCGATGCTGAGCTGGCATAGCTGGATGGCAAGGATAATCCTTGCTTGGCTTAGCCAGTCATGGCCAGCTCTGTGGTGCACTGGAGAAGGCGGGGATTCCTACCTCGTCTACCACCAGAGCCAGAGTCACGTGCCATGGTGTTGGCGTCGGAACACAGAAACGTACCCGGGGGTCGATCCTCTTTATTCATCATATCGTAAGCTGAACATTTGAGATAGGAGGCGATCCTCGGCACCTGATAACAGCAATCCATTATTTAAGCACTTCTATGGCTAATCGATCAGAAGACGTGCGTGTCAACCATAGACAGGATCATCAAACCACAAATCAGGATAGTTTGAGTGTTCGGATAATCTTCGATTTCTCGTAGTTCGATAAATTTGGTCTTGGTGATTAATTTGACATCGGATATGGTCGGCCCGAGCCGAGGGCCAGTCATGACTAAGGGAAACCCAAGAAACGTGGCCTCCTGTTCCTGACAGTTCCACCGCTCGTTGCCCCTCTATCGGCGTATTGCTATCAACCACACTCCTGCAGCATGAGTAGTACAATTCATTTGGCTCTACTTGTTATTCTCCTGAGCCTGTCAGAAGTCCTTCTTGAATTTAACTCCATGTGTTCTGGTTACTTGAAAGCTCTTACCTTTCTGACTGACATCCAAGGCTTCTTATCAATAGGCTCCTCGGCGGTATCTATTGTCTTGATGATAATGCTTTTAATCCCCTGAGTGGGACCGCTTCTCAGGTTCAGGATTTTACTCTGTGGGAACGGTCCCCTTCAAATGCCCCCACCCCCGGGAACTTTGGCCGCGAGTGTACCCCGTTCGGATCCAGCCCCTCCAACCATGGAAGTCGAAGCTTCACCCCCTTGCGTCATACTCCACCCGAACAGCAAAATTCCGTACCAGAGTGGGATACAAGGGTTGATGACTGGGAAGGAACTGATATCCATTATTCCATCGAATGGAGGGTGACTCTGAACAATCGGGTGGTGGCAAAGGATACAGAACAGGACCTGATACTCGACCCCAGCTTTTATTGGTCCGATATCAAGCAGAAAGCAGAGGATATTCTACGTCGGAAAGTAGCTCGCAACCGACGGGTGAGACTAGATGATACTACAGTAGTGGTTTCTGTAAATGATCGCTCACAGCGGGATCTGACTAAGCGTTTTGAGAAGACTGATATTGACTGGACAGCTATACAAAGGCAGCTTGCTATGTGGAAGAGCTTGTCCCAAGAAGGAAAAAAGCTTCGGCTTTGCATTTCTATTAATTATTTAGATTCCGAACCGCTTTCAACTGGGTCTGATAAACGGGGACAAACATCAGTTACCAAGAGGATGCTCAACGCACGAGAGGCTGAGATTGATGCTGAAAACGTTTCTGGGCAACCTTCAGCATGGCGGGACGTATACAGGGCAATGCGATGCCCTGGCGCACCATGCCGCCTTGAATCACAGTACTGCTGGCAGGATCCCGTGGGCAAAAAGCATTATAGACTGCGGACGCACCATCTGAGGAAGTTAGTGAGGTTCGTGGAGAAAGAAGGTGGAGTGATTCAAACACACGATGATGTACCCGACAGTATTCGCGAACAGCTATATGCAGAGGAGCAGCAGCGACTCGAGCTACGACAAAAGACTCCTACACATTCCGCGACCGGATCCACCTTCCCAATTAATATCAACGTACTCCCTACACAACCATCTCAGCCCATGACATCATCTCCTCCAGCCAATGCTGACCCTCTTTCTGCAAGCCATTCTCCTATCCGTACTGCCATCGATATTCCCGGGCCTCTTGAGGTAGCTGTTGAGGAATACACTGCATGGCACCTGTCACGGGTGAGCACCGACAGTTTCAAAGAGAATATCATCAAGGCACGTGACGTGACACTGGAGAATTGTCTTGATCTAAAACAAATTCACCATGATCAAAATCCAGAATTTTTCATCAGCCAGGGTGTCAAATTGGGAGCCGCACGCAGGTTTGTGGGTGAAGTCAATGACTGGCTTCTGGATAGGAAAGTCAATCGAAACGAGGACTTTGAGTTATTTTGAGAATTTTGTACTTTGGCGGTCTTTCCATGTAGTGGTTTATACAGAAATATAGGTATTTGCAACCATGCTGCACAATTTGCGATCACTTGACCACTATCACCGGCAGCTTAATCGTTACTACTATAATGCTCAATAGTCAACCCTGCATGCCGAAAGTGCCCCTCTGCACTTTGCTCTCTCGCTCCAACTTTATCGACACACCATTCAAGGTACATTTCGAACCCTTGGGCCGTGTCGTCCTGGTAAACGTGCCAGTTTCGACGGATAAAAGATTTGAGTTCAGCAAAAAACTCCTCAATAGGATTTAGATCGGGTGAATAGGGCGGGAGATAGACTAGTTTGACACCTCTTTCTGCGCACATTCGCTCAATCCGCTCCGAATGATGAAAGGATGCATTGTCCATGATCAGAACCGATTTAGGCTCGGGCCACTTTCCGCAATGCTGAAGAAGTTCTTCGATAAAGTCCTCGAAGAGAGCTGCATCAGTTGTGCCTCGAAAAATGCGAGCAAGCATGATTCCATCCTGGGAGTAAGCAGGAAGAATCTGGTAGCGTTGATCCCGGTGGAATTTAGATATCTGGACTGGTGTTGTACCACTCGGAGACCATCCAGTTCTTCGAAAGCCTATCCGTTTATCGCACCCAGACTCATCAACATAGACTAGGTGGAACGAAGAGAAGTCGGAGATCAAGTGAATATACTCATCTCGTAAATCAGAATTTCGTTCCTTGGCCTGCTGCCGGGCAACTTTCTTCGACCATCCTTGCTTATGAAGCGCATCACTTATGGTAGATTTCGGTATACGCATGTCGAACTCGTCTAGCAGGAATAATTCCATCTCGTGTAGGTACGAATCTGGCTTTTCAAGAAGATGGTCACATAGAGCTTCTAGCATCACCGGAGTTATTTTTCGGGGCCGTCCGCCTTTGATTGGGGGGGCTTTAAGACTGCCGAAAATTTGGAGGTTGGATCGCAGTCGAAAGATAGCTCGCTTACTGCAACCAGCCGCCTCGGCCATTTGAGAAGCACTAAGGTCTCCATTGATCAACATATCGTGGATAAGATCAAGCGTGGATTGAGCTAGATTAGGGGCCATTCTTGTGATTTGGCTGCCATCAGTAGTTGAACGGCGGTTGCGATTCTCCTAGAACCGATAGTAGATAGATAACACGTGGTATAAAAAGATATCATAATTACAGACAGTTGTTATATGACGAAGATGTGATATGCCTTACAATACACGGCTCAACTATCTTCCAGCTCCGTGCCAGGATTGGCTTAGTGTCGTTTCATCCCGGGGTTGCTGAAACAATCGAAGAGTGTAGGTAGTGACTTCGGTATCCGGAAGAACTGTATCAGCACAGATTGTATAGGTACGAAAAGATATCCTTTCGGCATTGTGCATATGAAGGCTTTCGAAACACCTATCGGAAACCAAGTAACATAGAAATTGTAGTGTCAATTCTGAGAAAAGCTATTCATGAGTCCATTTTTTCTTCTAATGATACTTATGGGGTCGATTATCTCAGGTTTATGTTATTAGCATAACTTCCTATATTAGACTTGGATCCGTCCTGACCCAGGTTCCCTAGTGTAACTAGTCCAGTTCCGGAGCACTAGATCTGACAAGCTGTAGCTTGAAATTTAAGGCTACTATTCTGTTATGTAATTAATACTTAAAATACTAGCTGTAAGAGCATTAGCAAATAATTTACCTGCTGGACCACATGCTAGCGTCATTATTTTATTGAGCGGGCCGCATTAAACTCATGGGTTTGTCTAAGATACAGTACACGGCTCTCACCAAAGTTGCAGCATCCCGCTCAATAGCCTATCCGAGCTAATATCTTGGCAGTGGCTCTGAAAAAATATTCATAGTATGTTTGTTGGTCAAGCCGATTTGGAGATCCTCTATTGTTTAGGTGGAAAGTACAAAATGAGTCTCGTTTCTCGTCCTCTGATGACGATTCTCCAGAAACACTCTTTTTGGTCAAGACCATGCTTATAGCCTCCCGCTATTATCTTACTTTACCAGTGTTATCATTCATGATACTACTGTGGCAACTACATAATTACAAAGAACTTTTGTCTTCTCGCGGAAAATCGTCTTTCGATCCTAACTTGGAGGCCATCAACTGGGCAGAGTTCGCCTATGTGCAATATGCGACTGACACAGATTATCTCTGTAATGCTGTTATGCTTTTCGAGTCTCTTGAGCGCCTTCGCAGCCTCCCAGAAAGAGTGCTTCTTTTTCCTTCGCACTTTGATCTGAAGAGCGAATCTGTGGAAGGGAGATTGTTACGCAAGGCGCTTGCAGAGTATCGCGTCAGACTAATGCCCATTGAGGTACAAACTCGACCCGCTGATGATAGTACGTATTAATTTATGCTTACTTCAATTGTACTTCTTCAAATTGGTTGAAGTCGGCCACGCTGGCTCACAGCCTATATAGCAACATGGACAGACAGCTACACCAAGTTGCTGGTCTTCAATCGAACGGAGTACAAGCGGGTAATAAGTTTGGACTCGGATGCTATCTTGCTACAAGTATTTAGAACCCTGGCCACTATTACATCTTGATAGGCAGAGACATATGTACTAAAAACTTTGTCACTA